ACGCAATATTCCCAGACTATGACAGATGCTTCTCAGGCGCCCAAGTCAGTCCCAGTGGAGAGTCACTGCTCTAAGTCCAGTCAGTCTCAGTTCTGCTTGAACCTTCAGCAGACATTTTTAATAGTTCTGTATGAGCCAAGTTCTCTTCTGGCCACTGACGATGAAGCAGTGGATAACATGAGTTCTTTCATTCAAGATGTTTATATTTTGTTGGGGAGAGAAGCAGAAGCCAAAGAAACAGATGAGTCACCATGGTAACTCACAGGATGTCAGATGCAAAGAAGAAAGTAAAACACATTTCTGTATGGTCCAGGAATCTCTTTAAGGATGTTTCTGGAAACTGAGGTCAAGGTGTCAGGGAACATCCAGTTGTAAGAAAAGGAGAGGGTGTTTATAGGGAAGGGACATCTGTAGGAAGGTCCCTAAAGAGGGGATGGTTTAGGAACATGTCAGGCATAGAAAGCATGGCCATGCCTTGGAAGAGAGGTAAGGGATAAAGCCAGACCATGGTAGAGCTAGATCCTTGGATGTGACACTTGGATTTTGATTCAAGGGAGAAGAGAAGTCCCTACACTGTCTGGAGTGATGCTGGTTATTCTCCTCACACTTTGGCTGCTGTGTGCATTGATCTACTGGGGCCAGCAAGGGAAAATTAAGTTATCACCAATGACTGTGGTCATCATCCCAGGGAGAAGTCATGGGAGCCTGTACAAGAACAGCTGTGGTGAAAACAGGAACATGAAGATAATGAACAATTTCTTTGAGAGACCATGACAACAAGGAATAGAGATAGACTTTTCCTGAAAAGAAAGGTGTGAATCACCTTTGTCACTGTGACAAAATTCTTATGTGTGTGTGTGTGTGTGTGTGTGAAATTAAAGAGAAAACAATTATCCTGGTTAATTACTTTAGAACTCTTAGTCCATGACTGCTTGGCCTTGTTACTTTGAACTCAAGAGAATAGCAAATATTATGTAATAGAGCAAAACAGCCCACCTTATAGAGATTGGGTGACAGAGGAAGAGAGTGAAACAAGAGGCCACGGATAGCAAATGCCTTTCAAAGAAATAGCTCTAGTGATATAGTTTCTTAGTCTATCCCAACCTCTTAGTTTTATCATCTCCCAGTAAATTCCACCAGATTGCAAATTCTTACTGGGGATGTATCTCAGTTGATAAAGTGCTTGCCTAACATTCTTGAAGTTATAGGCTCAATTTTTAGGACTTCATAACACCCGACACAGGGGTACATGCCTTATAATTCTGGTATTTTTAAGACAGGCAGTAGGATCAGAAGTTCAAGGCCATCTTTGGCTATACAACATGTTCCAGGCCAGCCTGGGGTCCAAGTAGTCTTTTTCAAAATATAAGTTATACACACATTAATAAATGAACCAACCAATAAGGTGAATGTCCCCGAGATTCAATTAATATCTCATAGCCCATCAGTTGGCAAAACAGCCTCCAGCACACAAGCCTTTAGAGCCAGCTTCTTAAATAATGAGTCTAGGTTCCATAAGACATTGGGTAACTGGATGTGGGGGCCATGAAAATATTGGCAACAATGTAAGTTTATGAATATGCAATGATCAACAATCACACGTGTCCTCAGTTAAACGTACTTCTCTGAGCACTTACCTGCGTTGTACTTTGTGACTTCACTGTAGCTCTGCTTCTAAAACCACAGTGAAGTCACTTTGCACTGCCAATGACATTCCGTCATGCAACAGAAACAAACACTACCTAAAATATGTTGGCTCAGAATTAAGACTACTGTATGTTAGGGACTGCAGTGTTTTTACTGTATATATGAAGTGTTCTGTTCTTCTGAAAACATAACGGTTTTCATTGCCTCAAACAAAGACTTTTAACATTATTCTTCAGCGTGTAATTATGAAGTTAGTTTATCTGTGGCCTTTAAAATTTGCCATTGGAGGTACTCACTTGTGTCTCAGGAGAAAAATGAATTAATTATTTGCTAAGGATTAGGATAGAATTTCTAACAATTTCTGAAATGTCTCTGGACACACCTTTACGTTTTGTGTTTTATATTTATCTAAGGCTCAGTGCTTCCTCCCTGATGGTTAGCTTTCTTAGTTCCAGAAGGTGCTATGCAGGCTTCCAGGGAAGAAAAGGAATCAGTGGTCCTACCTTGCTGGGCCCCTTTGATGTATGATAATAAACTTCCACGTAGGATACTCCCATTTGTGCAACAGTGTCACGACTGTTACATGGGGCAACCAATTGCTCTCTAACTGAACTTGAGACTGGATCCATAGTACGGAATCCATGCCTGTACTGAAACCTGAGCAAAACTCCATGAAAAGTTTGCTGTGAGGTTGCTTCCCAGAAACACTGACAAGTTACATCTATTAAGTTTCACCAGCATAGCTGCCTAAACAAGTCCCAAACAATGACAATACCAACAGGCGTGCTAAAGCAAAAGGTGAGAAACTCAAAAGGCCCTGACCCTTGAAAAAGAACTATAGACAAATAATGAATGCTCAGAGTAAGAGAAATAGACTTTGCCAGGAAGGAGCATGCCAACTGGTAATCCAGTATCAAGTCAGTCCTAAGGTAATCTATCTATCTATCTATCTATCTATCTATCTATCTATCTATCTATCTATCTATCCATGTATATATATAAATATATGTATATATGTGTGTGTGTATATGCATATATACATATAGGAGATATTATATGGACTAAACAGGTTGTACTTTTATATTTAAGAAACTATGTAAAAAAATTTTTAAAAAAAGCTGGGCATTGGTGGTGCACGCCTTTAATCCCAGCACTCAGGAGGCAGAGGCAGGCGGATCTCTGTGAGTTCGAGGCCAGGCTGGACCGACAGCCTCCAAAAAAACAGAGAAACCCTGTCTCATAAAACCAAAAAAAAATCTATGTAACAACAATTAAATTTTTTAAAAGAGCTATGAATTTGAGAATTATGAAGAGGAAGAATTGGACAGGTTAAAAGAAAGAGAGGGAAGGATGGAGCGATGTAATAATACTATGATTTCAAAGAACGAAACAGGTCATATTTTTAAAAATTAATAAACCTCCCTGGCAGCGGAGATCATAAACCCTAAGGAAGAACTGAATACTGTTGCTTACCAAACTGAGACAGTGCCAAGCTGCCCTCTGAGTAGTTATGAATATTCTTATGGCCTAACTTTACTCTGATACAGGCTTTCTGGCTCATGGTGAAGGCAGGGACTCGTAGTTGTGACGGATGCATGTGCAGCCCTACACTAGTCACTTATGTCATCTTCTCTGAGTCTCAGGTAGGGAGACAAAAGTCCAGGCAGGGTGCAGAGTGAATGCCAGAGCTGTAAGATTGCGAGAAGATGGGGAGAAGTGTCGCCAAGTGTCACCTCCTGTCCCAGGCACAGCGAACTTGCAGCTGCTATCAGTGCCTGCACTGGGAGGGGGGGGATTTCAGATTCACACCATAACTCCAGGAGTCTTAACTAGACATTCACTTATGGGAGGAGAAAATGACTGCCTAATCAGATTCCATTCTCACTAGATTTTCTAGCTAGTGATTCAAGTTAGGTTTCTTTTACGGCCAGCTCCTTGTTTCGCTCCTATAAAGGTGGTTAATAGAGTGTAACACCAGCTTAATTATACCTGTTTCCTTGACCGCTTTCTTTAGTTTAACATTTACTCAGCTTAGCATTTAGTACATATCTCAGTATAGCATGAGGCCATTGAGAAAAGTTCTTGAATGGCATCTTCCAACACTTTTAACTGGGCTGTTAAACATTCTTTCACAGTACATCGTAGGAGAGGAACAACCGCAGGCTCCAAGTCCTCCTGGGCATCATATTGCTGTTTCTCTTCAATTTTATTCACATACTGTTTACTTCTACTCAGATGTGCAAAACTGCCTGGCGGAGAAAGGAGAAAGCTCTACCAGAGGGATTCATTCATACCTGTTTGACTCCATGGTTCTGGGCTGGTTGTGTGAAAACCTATCTGCGGGAATGTGTGGTAAAGGTGATTCTTTTGAAGTTGACAAGAAACCAAAAAGAAGGAATCATGTTCACGTTATCCTTTCCTTTCCTGTTAGTCTGCCCAGGCTTCACAGACACACCCAGAGAGGTGCCTCAGTCTTCTAGGTGATTCCCAACAATGCCAGGGTGAGGGTGACTATTAACATCACAGAAGAGCTGATCTTTTTAATAACAACAGCATAGCAACTATGGATACTGTTGATGGAGATCCTCTGGTCACTGGCTTGTTTATAGCCTATTGGGTTTAATGCTCATTCCAGCAGAGAATGGTCTAGAGAGAGTAAGTCAATGTGCCTAAGATCATGCAGCTGGAGTGTCAGTTCCTTGGGCACAATAATAAAACACAATGAAATAGATGGCAAAAAACAATAGAAGTGTACTCTATAATAGTTGTGGAGACCAGGACTCTACAATCAAGTTATCAGGAGCACATTTGTTCTGAAGCCTTTGGAGGGAAACACATTCTTGGTTCTTTTGCCTTCTGGAAGTCTTAGGCGTCCCTTGACATATGACAGCGTTTTCAAGGCATCCCCTGGCGTGTGACATCGTGACACTCATTTCTACATCCATCTTCTCAAGGGTTTCTCTTTTCCTCCCTGCGTGTCATCTGTATCCTAAAAAACGTTGGATTAGGATCCTCCCAGACAATCAAAGATGATGCCACCTAGAGATGCTTTTTACTGTGTTACATTCAGTGATAAGTCTTTCCAAGGTAAAAGTCCCATACACCCCTGGTGGTGTGGGAACACAGGGATGCCTTTGGCTGGAACTATTCAATATACATTACCTGCCCGTGGGTGAGTTTCCCTGTAACAGCTCTCAACTCTGAGGGTTTGTGCCCTACAAAACTTAATGAGCTCGGATGTCTTTTCATCACTGGGGCCTCATCCGCTCCTACAGTCTGCGTTCGTTGACAATCAGCCAAAGACCCAAAAGAGGTTTGTAATTCTTTTAAAATCCAAAATAAAGTTAGCAGTATAATGTAGTATAAATTTTAATTACAGGTTTCACAGTGGGGAAGGCCTTCAAAATGGTGACAGATATTTAAAGATGTTAGGAGATGCTGGCCTTGCTACCTTTAATTACAAAGGAGAGCAAAATATTTCAAAATACATCTTAAGAGTTTTGGGTGCTATAAAAAATAAGCTTGAACGACGAAAAGCAACTGACACCTAGGTAAGTTGATGACACAGCTTTTTCCCCTCCTCCTCCCCATTCGTTCCCCATCCTCCCCACCCTCTCTTTTTCTTGCTATTAAATGAATACTTAGTGATACTGTTGTGGAGTCAAGTCACATTTTTCAATCCTTCATAACTTCACCCCCTCCTTCTCTGCCTTGCTTCACATTAAGCCACAAGTCTAAAAGAGAACTCAGAGCAGCCAGATCTGCATCATAGAGTGAGGCAGACAGCAAATGAGATACTTGCTAAAGCAACAGGGTGTCTCATCAGACCAAATGCTCTTGGTTGAGGGGAATTCTAGGCAGGCAGCTACATAAAGCTAGCTGGATCAATTTGTCTAGTTTGAGAGGTAATCTTTAAGACAGTTGATTAGAAGGCTGTTCGTTGGTTTATTGCTTGCTCTGCAGGATTTGTGTCTCTCTCTCTCTCTCTCTCTCTCTCTCTCTCTCATGTAATGGATAAAAGATGATGGGGCTAAAATCTGCAGAGAATGGGAACCCATCCTCTTCTCCCAACATAGCTCCCATGCAATGCTTCAAAAGAAAGAATGAGCAAATCTGAGCACAGCTAAGAGGAACCTGAGCTCTTGGCTCAAGTGACACTCAACTTCATTCCTCTAAACTGCCTCCTATGAATATGCACGTGAGTGCACACCACTAGAAAATGTGTTAGGTAATATTTGGAAAATCTGAAAAGGTTGGAAAGGAATATAACGCCTTCACCACACTTGGTTAAGTTTCTAGTCTCCCTCTGAAAATGTTAACACAATACTGCAAACATTTGGGATGTTACTGCATCATTCTAAGACATACCATTTAAATTGTTACCCGAAATTCCAAAGAGGAATGATGTTACAATTGTACATACATGAGCATACCATTGAATATTTAGACTATGTTTCTTTTCTCTTTTAGGTGAAGCATAAACCTCTTGAACTCGTATTTTTAAACACTTAAAGGCCCACATGTACATACATGTGTACTATGTATCCTCTGTCTACCATCTGTCTGCCTCTGTCTACCTGTCACTCACTGTCAATCATTTCCTCAGGAACGTTTCCCTGCTGTGATTAGAGGTCATAAATGGACCTCTAATACCCAGCTTCTTACAACTGGGTTTTACTGCCTCTTTTCTTTTTTTTTCCTTGTTTTCTGTTCTTTTCTCTGTCCCTTCATTTTCCCAGCTCTGTAAATCACTGAAACATCTTCTCTTTCCAATAATGGTAGATTTTTGAATGTCTGGATCATTCTAGGGTATGATTATAAAAAAATCACAAAAGGTTTATTTTTCTGTATCAACACCCAAAATCTTATATTCAGTGAGTTTTAGGGAAAATCTGGTTTTACATCATATCCTCTATTTGAAATATTGAAGACCAAGCGATTGAGAGACGTTTCCCAGGATGCAACAGGGTCTGGACTTTTGGACTCAATGTCCCCTCCCTGAAGGGTTGCCCCTGTACTGGGAAATTACTCTACAATTACATGCATGGAGAGCAGAGCATTTGTCCCTCCTAATGGTCTCTGTCTGATGGGGCTTCTATTATCACACTCACTTTACAGACAAGGAAAGACAATCAGAGGCTCTTCCTAGGGAGGCAAGTTCTTCATCTACCACACCATCTGTTTATCTTGGGGCAGGAGAGGAGGAGAGAGGTCAAACATTTCTGGGGAGCTGGTGGCTCTGCCCTTCCAGGGAAAGCAAACAGACCTTCTGAGCAGCTCCATGCAACTGTTTATGCTAACAGACAAACAATTCTTTCCCCAACCCTGAGGATAAACATACAGAGGCTAATCCATTCTCCTTGTGTAGATTTCTAGGTGGGAATGTTGACACTTGACTTGATTCTCCTTTAAATAAACAAACATCCCGGCAGGCAGGCAACTGAAATCCAGTTGTGGGGAGTACCACAAACACCAAAGCTTTCTTTCAGGTCCTCGCATTTCCTCCAACACATCCTTCACTTCAGCTGCTGTTTTCTCACTGAAGTTTTAGGGCTTGTGCTTAGTGTTCTTATCCTCGAGTCTTGTGTATTCATGTTCATTCTGGCCCATAGTCATAATAGTTCACACAAGCAATGGTGTACAACCACAGCTACACTCCATTGTGCTTGTCCCGCCCCCCCCCCGGGGGGGGGCTTAGTCACTTTGAAGGCACTCCTGATTTCCTGGATCCTTGTGATTGGTTGCAAGATGCAGGCCACATGCACAAGACATCCTCTTGGATCCAAGGTACTTGCTTCAGCAATGGGATATAAAAGAAGTTTAGGATGTGTTTCTGTCTTCTAACAAGGCTCAATTTCAAATCCTTGGGATCCAAAGTTGATAGAGTACGGGGCACGGGCAACTACAGAGAATGAAAGTCCACATATGTTAATAATTGACAAATGGGATTATGTGAAATTAAAAAGCTTTTGCATAGCAAATAAACAAAACAAACAATAAACAAAGGGAAACAAAAACCACTGTGTTGAAGAGGCATCCCACAGAATGGTAAACATATTCTTGCCAGCTGTACATTAGACAGAATATATAAAAATTTAAAAAAACCCAAATCCAAATCAGCAAATGGGCTAATGAGCTTAGTAGACAGTACTCCAAAGAATAAATACAAATAGTAAATAAATACCCAAGGGAGTGTTCAATATCTTAAGCTATCAGGAAAATGAAATTAAAATTGCTTTGAGATTCCATCGCATTCCAATCAGATGCCAGGGAGGATGTGGGGAAAATGGAACCCATATTCTTTGCTGGTGGGAGTGTAAACTGCTGCAGTCACAATGAAAAACAGCATGAGGGTTCTTCCAGGAAGTATCTCCAGAACTACCATACACCCAGATGTATTAGTGTTGCTTACATACCCAGCCACAAAGGTTCCTGCACATTCACATTTGTTATTGTAGTACTCAGTAGCCAAGAAATGGAACCATCCTAGATGTCTATGAACTAATGACTATGGATAAAGAAAATGTGACACATATATAGAAAATGGAATTTTATGAATCTCCAACGAGAAATTCAAAGGTGGCATTTGCAGGAAGATTTATACAACTGAACATAGTTTTAAGCAAAAATGTCAGCTTCAGAAAGACAAATCCAATCAGCCTTCTTTTATGTGCAGAGCCCAGATTTAAAATTGCACACATGCATGCATGTATGCATTTTTACATATACACACGTGTATATAGGGCAAAACACTGGAAGGACATCCTGAGAAGGGACGATGGAATCTGAAAGAAGAAGGAAAATAGTTTAACGGAATGTATGTAATAAGAAAGGGGGCTAAGTGGGGAAGAAGGCAAGGGAAATAGAGATGGTAGCGGCACAGTCAGCCCAGGGAAGCAAATGAGAACAGAGTGTAATGACATACATATGAAGATATACGATAGAGTCCATCTTTTGTATGCTAACTACATTAGTTACGTTTTTTCATTGCTTTGACAAAATGCCCTACAGAATCAATTTTAGGATTATTAGGAAGTAATTATTTTGGCTCCTAGTTTTGGGTACATAAAGTCCATCACAATGTGGAAGCCATGGCAACAGAACGATGAGGCTGTTGGCCACATTCCATCCACAGTCAGGATCTGAGAAATGAATGCTGGTGTTTAGCTTGCTGTCTCACTTAACTCAGCCCAAGACTCAGTCCATGAAATGGTCCTTCCCAAAATTCCCTTTCTTTCTGGGAATAACCTCATAAGAAAAATGGAACGTTATATCTCCATGGTAATTCTAAACCTAGTCAAATTGATAAATAGTATTAAACCATTACATCAACCTAAAAATTAATTTTAGAAAAGGAGCAAGAAGGTGAAAGGTCAACCTGACCTTCCCTCATGTGAAGCTCGGGCATAAAGAACTTCTGTTTCTGACCCACTTCTTTAGAAGGAAAATAGAAGACCCTCATTCTAGAGAGAACTTGCCACAGCCATGGAAATACAAGTGCTATACAGAAAGGTCTAGGAGAATCTGAGGCCCCATCGAATGCCCTGTCACAGTTTACTATTGTTTGATGGCACACTTTTGCTTAATTATTTACTTACATGTCTCTTCATTCTTTAAGGAACCTAATGACAGAAAGCATATTTTCTCTTGATCTAAAGGCCTCCACTTGTTGACGCTTTAAGGTTGATGTGTCATATAAAGCATTAACAAATCTGCTTTTCTCTCGTCAACCTGCCTTGTGCCATCAGGGTATTAGCTGTGACCTCTGCCTTGGTCAGGAGGAGATCTTTCTTGCTCCGACAAAGAGAGCCCATACACTGAATTTGGAAAATTCTATGGAGGAACACTGCACTCATACCCAGGACAAAGCAGCCAAAGAGAGACCATTATAGGAAATAGCTCTGTCTTCATTCTCAGACTTAGCCTTCCCAATAGCACTTAGGGGCATTTGTAGAACAGGTCATCACAGGGGTACATGAAGAGCCTATGGCTCTTTAGCTACAGAATTCTGTATCACTCATTTGTTCTAATTTTTTTCTTTCCAGGAAAAAATATCTACCGACATATGCCCGGGGCTGAACACAAGAAAATGAATAAGAATTCCTGGAAACGACATTAGAAGAGGAAAGACAAACAGCAAGTGATGAATAAATACATGTCTAATTTCTCAAGGAGGCAACACTTCAGAGAAAATGAAGTCTGAGCTAGAGAGTAAGGACCAGGAGGATGGTTCCTGCAGGACAAGAGACTACAATAAATGCTGCTGGGAGGTGATCCACGCAAGATGTGCTCAGACCCCAAGACCTTCTGCCAGGTAAAGCTATGAAAACAAAAGCAAAAATAGACTTTGAGCAGATACACAGTTGTCAGACGTTGAATTGGACAAAACCATGTAAATATTTTGAGAAATTCAGCTGCCTTTCCCACTGCCAGGAATCTCTGTAACACAAAGTGGGGGTACTTAGCTTCATGCAAAGCCACCTTCTTGAGTTCGTTCTCGCTCTCTTCTCTCTCACTTCAGACTTGGAGCTTTTGCCCTTGGTCTGGCAATTATGAACCGTCTCTTTGGCCCTTAGGTACTCTTTATGTAGAGATGAGCCAGGATTCTCTTCTGCTAACTTACAAGAGATAGCAGCAAAACATGAAGTTTGTTGTTATTGTTGTTCTAGGTACTGCGGCAAAGTTCTCTGTGCATTAATAAATTGAACTCCTCCAGAACTTATACGCCATGTAAAAGGGGCTAGCCAAACTTATGTATTGATTAGATACTAGCCCCTTTGACTGGTAGAGGAACTAAGCTTAAAATGATTAGTATAGTCCTCAAATTTAGTACATGAGACAGCAAGGTTTGAGATCAGATTCTGGTCAGATTTGGCTATTAAATCTAGGAGAGATTTGAGATGAGCAAAGTCAGGCCAACTGGGAGAAACGGGGAGTGAGCACACTGGCTGTAGCCCTGAAGGGCCTATTGCTTATTTGGCTTCATTTCGCTGTGGTTGAAGGTTGGGCAGGTAACTCAAAGGAGACTTTTTGCCTCTGTGCTTGTTCCTAGGTGAGAGAAACACAAACACGACACAGGAAAGGCCAAAACAGGTCCAGTCCAGAGAGCTCTTGAAGAAGGAGCTTTTAGGCTTAGACATCAGGATCCAGTCTATCCCGAGTTTTGTTGTTCATTTAGTATCTTTTGCCCAACTCCAGCCCCTCCAGTACTTTTAACTCTTTGTTCAGCACATACACAATTGCACTTGATTGCTTGCCACCAGGTGCTAAAGTGTGCAGAATTAGAAGTCCAAATCCCTAAGCTAGAGAGACTTCAATGCTCATCTCACCTCTACTACAGAGCAGTGACTACTGAATTGGATGAGTCAATCTCTGTAAATATGTCTTCTTCCCCATGAAATTGGGATAATGACATTGTTGAAAAAATGAGTTGATGCATGTAATTTGCTTAGCAGAGTGCCTGGGCTTGATCCTGCAATTTTGCCTAGGCTTTTCTTATCAATTGCTTAATAAATATGATTTGCCTGGTGCCTTGGCATACCAGCTGCTCCGATTTTCCTTGGCAAACTGAAGACAAATATGTTTTTCCTACCTCAAACTTGGATCAGAGAGTGTGTCCACTACTAATCTAGACAAATACCAGAAAACTATCACAAGAATGGAATTTTACAAAGTCAGAGCCAAGGATACACTGAAGACATACCAAGGCAGAAGACTATAAAGGGTTTATTGTCCTGGGTGAGCGGATGGATTTGAAAGCATTAAGTGTTCACAAAATCTTGTGATTCTGTATCTTGACTTAAAATATTTGCACTCAAGGAAACAGAGATCTTTCACTCAATGAATTCATTCTTAAGGTATCGAGGTGAAAGACACAGCTGGCAGTGTAGCTCTGTTCTCATGGAGATATGAGCAAATGTCTACTTGCCCCATATAGGGAACCAATGGAAGATCAAATATGGATACCACCAAAGTTCAACTTAGTGGACCAATGAGTTCTGTTGGAGTTACTTACAGGAATATGGGTGAGGGGTCACTGATGGGAACAGAAGTTGTCTCAAACACAATTGCATCACCAAATTCTACCTCAGCACGGGTGACAGTTCTCGATGACTGGAAACCCAGAGAACACTACACAACCTTCAGGCAGCTCAAGAAGTAGCTCCACAACTGGGTAGCTCAATTGGTCTGAGCCTCTTCCAGGCAGGTCTCTGTTTCCTTTGGGCTGTTTGTTTTCGCTTCTTCCAGGCTGTCTGAGTGCTCTCTTGTTTCTTCTGGGATTTTCAACTGGTCTCTACTTCACACAGGCTTCTCGGTCCAGCAGAGCCTCATCGAAGCAGCTCAGCTTGTCTCAGAATCTTCCTGTTTTTTGTTTTGTTTGTTTTTTGTTTTTGTCACAAAACACCAGCACTGCCTCTAGTGAGGACTGGAATGTTCACCACATCCATTGCCTTAAGTAATAGATGAGCAATGTTAGGTCTTGCAAGAGCCATGTCATCCAGAAATATATAGGAATCCTGGTGTCCTACTCCCTATGGCAGTGAATATCTAACTTTCTCTGAATAAACACAGTAGTAAAGACAACAGGCCTTCCTAGTGTCTAGATTTTATTTGTTAGCTTTTAATTTCTTTTAAACAAATCCAAACAGTGCCAGTTTTGATCTCAAATCTGTTTACATCCCTGCCCAGGTACTCTTGTTTTCTTCCCCAGGATCTAGTAATTTATTCCTTCTTTTCTTACTGAATGCCTAAGAACCAAACTTCACAGTCTAGACCCAGAGCTGGGGATATTTCTAATGTGGAGACAGCAGAATCAGTTATGGCTTGCCATATATTTGATCATGGGAAATCATTTAACTTTTCCTTTTCTTCCACTCATGTTTCCCCCTTATTCAGGGCTGT